CAATATTCCTACTGGCCTGCATTATGTTAATTTATAAACAACTTCTGTAGCCTTTTGTTTCTATTTCTGCTATTTGGAAAATTATGTAAAATTTTTACTGTAGTGTGAAAAGAGCTATCGATAAAATAAATGAACTGAAATTTTTAATTCTCAAATGTTTGGCTTATATGTAATTTCAAATTATTAGTCAGGTGGTTTATTATCACAGGATAACTTTCTGTGGTCCTTAATAAATTATGTAATTATCTTCTTAATGTACCTTTTCAAGTCAAATTTTGACTGGAAGCTTTTACTAAATGTGGCCAGTAGCTGGGCATAGTGGCACATGCCTGTAATCCCAGCATTCCAGAGGCTGAGGGAGGAGGATATTGTGAGCTCAGGGCCAGTCTGAGCTAAGTGGTGAGTTTAAGGCCAGCCTGGGCTACATAGTTAAAACCTGTTCACCCCCCCAAAAAAAAACAACAACAAAAAAACAGGAAACATGATCAGTGTTTGCTTTGATGCTGTCTGCCACCCATTTACCGAGTGGCTCCTGAGATTGTTTTTCTCCTCTCGGGCAGCCGTCTCACTGGACCTCACATAGTTACGTCCTTGGGAAAGTCCCAGTACACTCATCTTAATTCAGTTCAGTGTAAACATGTGAGATCTTTTCACTGACATTCATTCTTTTTTTTAGTATAGATATTCTGAAGTTCACACCTTCTTGATGGCTTAATGAAATTGGCTCACCTTGAAAAGCTAGATACTAATTTAATTTGCAGCACAGGTGACACAATGTCAAGAAAAGTTGTATTTTTGGAGATAGGATGGGAGGTAAGGTAAAAGATGAGAAGAGATTTTTCAAAAGGAGTAAGTTGGGTGTAATAAAGAGTAGAATGGGGATCTTGTTTTAAAAATGATGACTTCGTTTTCCTCTCCTGGAGACACGTAGACTGAGATGCTCTCAGACCCTGCGTTGTCATGCAGCTGGCCCAGGGAAAACGGGCTGGAGCTGCCTAGTGCCATCCCTTCCATTGGCACCGATGCAAGCTCTCCCTGCTGCCTGCCCCGCTGTTGTGACTCTCACGTAGATGAATCACAGGGCTACTGGGGATGGATTTCCTTGGTTTGGGTACAATATTGTACTGTTTCAGAGCTAGTGGTTGATCTTACTAAGAATCTCAGCTGCTTATGCATTATAAAGTTTTTATTTGACAGATATATACTAATTAGGAAAATAACATTGGATTGATGAGATACATGGTCATATTTAGCATAAAGTTCAATTGATAATGAAAATTTATAGAATTGCCCTATTCTGTTTAAAAGTAATGAGTGGTTACATTTTTTCAAATTTCTGAAAATATAAGCATTTTCTGTGATGTCAGATGGCAGACAAAGCCTTTTTCTGGGACTCCTTCCTGGGAGGTTGAGACGCCACTCACTAATTCCCTGACGGGAGCTTGAGAACTTGGAGTTTGAATCTTGGTGTTGGTTTTCCAGTCAGAGTTAAAGCAGTAGTCACTGTCTTAAACCACACAGTGAAGGTGTTTGTTTCCTCTAGGAAGGAAACAAAACACTTTTAATAGGATCTTCTTAGCTTGTGGTGCTCAGTGCATGTCGAATTTGCAGTTCTGGAAAAGAAGAGTCGCTGTGCCTGGGTCTTTCGGTGGATCTAACATTTGCAGGCTGAGCAGTCAGGAGCAGCCCCAAGAGGGGCTGAGCAGTGGCTGCTGCTGAGCCCGGAGCCCTAGGCACTGCGTCTCAGTGCGTCTCTGTGGTCTTCTCCTTGCCCCCACTGGGGTCTGCAGTGGACTTGTGTCTTTCGGTTACGTGTTCTGTGTAAGTGTTCTTGAATTTAAAAATCACAGAAGTCTCAGAAATGTCAAAGTCTGCCATTTTTCCCAACTGAAGGTCAGTATAATAAAATTTTCTGTTAGAATTGTTTTGTGTCCCCATCTACTTGCTTCTGCTTATCCTTCCTTCAAGCGAATGCCTCTTTAAATGCTAATATATTCTCTAGTCCCGTTCCTCTGTCAGCAGAGTTATATCAATGACTTCTCTGACTAGTTGCTCATACTTTTTTTTTGTTTGTTTGTTTCGTACCAGGAATCGAACTAGGGTCCCTGCGCTTGCAAGGCAGGCAGTGGAACCACTGAGCTAAATCCCCGGCCCTAGTTGCTCATACTTTAGAATGAAAAAGTGACTGCAGAGTGTAGCCGTGATTAACATTTAACACACTACATATTTTTTCCTAATCTGAAATGAATCCCTTCTCTTCACAGGAATCTGGTGGACATTTTCTTTGTGTCTTTTGTTAGTCCACAGTCACTCTGAATAAGCTTCAGTGACTACATCTAAATCAGGATCCTAGAGGCACTCGAAGCCCTGAGTTCCCTCCTCAGTAGTGGAGAAGAAATTGTGATAATACAGGGACTTAGAATTGAATGCCTGTGTCTGGAAACCTCCAGGGATAGAGAATTTGTAATTGCTTCTTAGCTTCTGGAGTTTACTTTGCTCATTCTTTTAGTTGAGTTTAACATCAGCCCAGCCTTCTTCCCATGTTTATTCCTAGATGCCTATTGGGTTGTTTGCAAAACTATTTACTTAAATCGAGAGGTGGAGTTGTGTCATGGTGGGATTTAGAGCCAGAGCCCTTCAGTTTGAATCCTGACCCTGCCTCTCTTGGTCTTTGTGATTTTAAATGGTTCCATTATCCTCTCTGCCTCTGAGTTTCTTTCTCTGTAAAATGAGATTTCCAAGTTCTCCTACAGTTGGTGCCAAGGTTGGATGAGTAAGTGTCTGTAAAGTAGTTGGAACCATGCCCTACACAAAGTAGGAGTGACCATGTGTTCACTATTATTGTTGCTGTTATTTTGGTTGGAAATGAGAATTTTATGTATCTGGAAAGAAACCATTATTAGCTGAACCCTTCGTCATGTTATGTAACTTTATGTTAGCATCTATCTATAATGTGAAGTATTATTGAAATGTTCCCCATGCCAGCATTGCATGGAGTTTCACTGTATTTCAAACAGAGCCTCTTAAAAGATTTCTGGGAAGTATCATTTTACACTTCCTTTATTATATTAAGGGACTTTATGTTACATCATAATTTTAAACATTTTCACTTTTTTCTTAGCTTTCCTTTTAGTTATTTGATAAAGTACATAGGTTACTCTTTAGAAGAATTGTTTCTCTATAGTGGTGACTCAGTTTCTTAAAGATGTAAACGTAATGGAGAATAGAAGGTGACGAATTCTGTATCCTGGGTGGAATAAACATCTTTCGCCCAAGCCCCCCAGCTTTTCTGCAGCACAGATGGTAGTTTCCGTGGCACTGGCGTTAAGGATGGGGATAGGCTGCCTGCGGTGCGGTGGTGATGCCAGGGCCCACAGCAGCGGTTCTCAGAGGCTGTTGTGCTCAGTCACCGGGAGCCTCGTGCCTGCAGATTTCTGAGAGTATGCTCAATGGCTCTGTTTTTAAAGATTCCTTTTCCTTTCCTGCCTTTTTTTTTAAAACCGTGATGGGGGTCTGATGAGGTTGCCCAGGCTGGTCTCGAACCAGTGGACTTGCCCATGCCTTACTAGTTTCCAAGACTACAGGTATGCATTATCATTCCTGGCCCCAAACTTCTGACTGTAAGTCTTGAGTTTGGCCTGAGAATTTATGTCTGAATATTTTCTTGAGGCCACTCTGAGGATTTCTACTTTCCCGTGTCACTCTTATCGTGTGCAGGGCATAGCAGTGGCCCTCCAGAGATGCTGCGAGCCTGCAAGTACCGTGGGAGGGACTCTGTAGATGGGGTTCAGTTAAGGGCCATGGATGGTCATAGACCATGTTAGTGAGCTCACTGTAATTATAGCTCCTTAACGTGAAGGAGGCCCACGAAACAGAGTCAGAGGGAGGTGCGACTGTGGAACAGTGGCTGGAGCCTCGCAGGGCATGCAGGTGGAAGGAAAGTGGCCATGAGCCAAGCAACATTGGTGGCTTCTAGGAGGTGGACAAGGCAATAAAGTGGACCTTGACCCCCACCTCCAGAAGGACTGGAGCTTGGCCGATGTCCAGAGGTTAGCCCAGAGACTCCCTCTCTGACTTGCGGCCTACAGAGGGAGCCTACGTCTGTGTTCTTTTAAGCCACTGAGTCTGTGGTCATCTGTTACAGCAGCAAGAGAATACTAACACATCAGTAGTTAATTCTGTTTACCAGATTGCTTTGTGCCAGGAATTCCCAATTTCACTACAGTTTCAATTTAGGAGCTTGAGAAAAACATAAGGCAAGAGCTCTCTCCTGTTTCTATCATTAAATGAAAAACTACCATTACCTGAACTTTTTCTTTCACTCCTTATTACACTTGAGAAAGTGTTCCAGCTCCTCTCAGGGCAGTCACTCTACTTTTGTTTGATCCCTTTTCTCTTTTCCACCTTGAAAAAACTGAGGAATTATATTACTTGTACACACACATCTGCCCTGTCATATTCATGTACCTCTTTTAGTACCCCCAGAGATAAACCACAATTTAACCTCTGTCTTATTTTAGTTTGTATTTGACTTCCATGAAAATTAAGAATATAAGTGGAATTATATGCTATCTAATTTTTTGTCTTTTTTTTTGGTACTGAGGATCGAACTCGGGTCCTTGCGCTTGCAAGGCAGGCAGCAGAACCACTGAGCTAAATCCCCAGCCTGTGTTTGTCCTTTTTATTGCTATGCAATATGCCAGTGTGAATATAGCACAGCTCACTTGTTTTCCTTATGGTCAGCATTTAGGTTGCTTGTAGTTTTGAGGATATTGTCAGTAAAGCTACCTTTACTACTTCTGCACGTGTCTTTTAGTGGACAGTGCCATGGTATGCATTTCAAATGTCCCCCAAACTCTCATGTGTCCGTAGGAGGGCAGGCCATTGGCAGTGTGGCCTGGAAGGGTGCATTGTTGTTCCTGCTCCTCCCGCCTCTCTCTGCTTCCTGGTTGCCCTGTGTTGAGCAACTTTCTTCTGCTCACACTTTCTCTCTCTACCAGGCCACTTCTGCCTTGAAGCCAGCTGTGAACTGAATCCATCAGAACCACGAGCTAAGGTGACCCTCCCCTCCTTTAAATTGCGGAGGTTGGGTGTACGTCCCAGCCATGAGAACGTGACTAATGCAAACATAAACATCTTGTTCTAGGAATACGTATCTGGGAAGAGTGTATTAGCTGCCTGTGCTATTGCTAGAACAAAATACCCAGCGCCTGTAAGTAAAAGGAAGAAGGATTGATTTGGTCAGCTGACTCCAAAGCATGCCCTCCTGGCAGAGAGACATGGCTGCTCATCTCATGACAGCCAGAAGCAGAAAGATGGAAGAGCCGAGTAAGAGGCATGGGACTCCTCTGCCCCCACTGCACCCTGCTTCCTAACGGCACATATGGCTACAATGAGTAGGACACCCTGATGATCCAGTTCTGAAAGGCCCAGCTCTGGACGTAAGAGTCTCCCACAGTGCTGATTAAATTTCCTTTTCACCAACATGAAAGACAGTGACGTTTGTGCTAGTTCACAGGCAACTGAGGTTTTGTTCATAAAATCTTTTCCTACACCAGTGTCTTCACGAGTTCTTCTTAACCTCTCCTAGTCAGTTTAGTGTTTGTGTTAATATTTGGCTCTTTAATCCACTTGGATTTTAGTTTAGTGCATGGTGACAGATAATAGGTCTAGTTTTAATTTTGGCAAGTTGAAACCCAGTTTTTTCAGCACCATTTATTAAAGAGGCTGTCTTTCCTCCAGTGAGGGTATTTGGCTTTGGGATATCTTCTTATTAAAAAGCTTCTGCACAGCAAGAGAAATGACCAACAGGGCTAAGAGGCAACCCACAATGTGAGAAAAAATTTTCACCAGCTGTTCCTCAGATAAAGGTCTACTATCTAGAATATATAAAGAACTTAAAAAAAATCAGACCTCCCAAATTTAAAGACCCAGTCCAAAAGTGGGCATCTGAAATGAATAGACATTTCTCAGACAAAGAAGTAGAAATAGCAAATAAACATATGAAAAAATGTCCAACATCACTGATCATTTGAGAGATGCGGATGAAAACAATGATGAGATTCCACCTAACCCCAGAAAGGATGGCTGCTATCAAGAAATCAAACAATAGCAAATGCTGGCGGGCTGTGGAGAAAGGAGCCCTGCTCCACTGCTGGTGGGAGTGCAGACCGGTGCAGCCACTGCAGAAATCAATGTGGAGATGTCTCAAAGAACTAGGATTAGAGGTCCCATTTGACACAGCTATTCCCCTGCTGGGTATCTTCCCCAGAGAATTAAAAGAATCACACCACAGTGATATATGCTTACCCAAGTTCATAGCAGCACAACTAAAACTTGGAAGCAGCCAGTTGCCCCTCAAAGGGAGACTGGATAAAGAAAGTGTTTTTTTAAAACTGAGTACTACTCATCCATAAAGAACGAGAAACTAGAGACATTTATAGCTAAATGGATGCACATTGAGGCCATACTCATAAATAAATAGGACGAATAGTATCTGATATAAAATACAGTTAATTGTAGTGTAATGCAAATCAGCAATCTTGCTGTTAGAGGTAGTGCTTTTTGTGAATCACCTCAGGAAATAGCGTGAGAGGCATGGTGGCACACACTTATAATCCCAATGAGGAGCGAAGTTGTAGCAGGGGAATCAATAGTTCTGAGTTCGCCTACACAACTTAGCAAGACCCCATCTCATAATAAAAAAGGCAGGAGATGTGGCTCACCTGTAGAGTGGCCTTGGGTTCCACCCATAGTACCATATACACACAGATAAACAAGGAAACAAAAAGAAAGACTAGTCTTACCTCCAGATAAGGAAAGTGATGTATTTACCTTTCATATTTATATTTAAACCCATCCCAAACATACATACATGCATACATACATACATACATACATACTGTTGGTGGGGATCAACCCCAGGCTAAGCAAATGGTTTACTACTTACTGAACTACAGCTCCATTCCTCAGGCTAATTTCTGTGTATGGGGATGGTATGGGCCAAGATGGCTGTTTCTTTTGTTATTTTAACATTAATATCTGGTATACCCAGCACTATTCATTGAAAAGACCACCCTTTCCCACTGACTTGTCCCAGAGCATTGGTGTACATCTGAAGTCCATCAGTGTGTGGGGCTTGTTACTGGATTTTCCATTCCCTTCCATTGGTCTTTGCCTAGATTTGCCCCAACACAATGTTTTCTGGGTTATGTAAGTGGAATATGAATCTTGATATCTGAGCTCAGTCCATCAACTTTGTTCTTAATGTTTGTATTTTGGACCTTTTGCATTTATTTTATAATCAGTGTTTTGTAGAATTTCTACTGAAACAGATGAACCCACTGGAATTTATATAATAATACTTACTGACTCGAGACCATTTGAGGGAGGATTGAGAACACGAAAGTCCAGTCCATAAACATTGCATAGCTTACCTTTTTTAGTCTTATTTATTTTCTCTTTATTGTAAAGCTCTTCCACACTTAGGTTATTTTCTTAAGTATTTGATGTTTATGGTGTTTTGTATGTGATAATTTAAATTTTATAATTGTATTTTGCTAGCATATAGACATTCAGTAACTGTTGGCTAATCTATTTTTGCAGATCCTGTTTCAAATTCATATATTTTGTTTTTTTCCTATAGGCAGAAGTATCATTTATTAATGTTGGCCTTTTGGCCTCATCCATTCCAATTTTTAGATCTTCTTGAATGAATTGGCTAGCACACCCTGTATCATTGTTTCCCATTTAGTAAAATGTTTTCTCTAGGGGTTTTTGTATTTGTTTTTGTAGGCAACCCTTCCCAGGCTTAGAAAGCTTCCTGTTCTTATCGTGAAAGGATGGGGAATGTTGTCAGATGATTTCTCTGCATCTTTGAAATGATCATGTGATTTTTTTTTCTGTACCAATACGAATTACACTGATTGATTTTGAAATATAATGCCAACTTTACATTCTTGGAATGATATGCTATACTTTTTACATATCATTGGATTCAGTTTGCTGTTTGGTTTAGGGCTTTTGTGTCTGTTGATGAGAGAGATTGTTTTGTAATTTGACTCTCCTATTATGCCTTTGTCAAGTTTTAGTTTAAAGGTTATACTAGCCACATAAAACCAGATGGAAAATATGTTTTCATTTTATTTTCAGAGTTTATTGATGTTTCTTCCTTAAATGTTTGGAAGAATTTATCAGTAAGGCCACCTGGGCCTGGGAAAACAAATTTGGGGGGAGGGTTTTTAACCCAGATTAAATTCATTCTATGAATGTGTATGTGTGTGTGTGTATGCAGTGTATGTGTGTATATATGTGTGTGTGTGTGTGCAGTGTATGTGTATATATATGTGTGTTATGAAGTGTATATGTGTATATGAATTGTATGTGTATGTGTGTGTATGGTGTATGTGTATATGTGTGTATGAAGTGTATGTGTATATGTGTGTGTGTTATGAAGTGTATGTGTGTATATGTGTGTATATGAAGAGTATGTGTGTATATGTGTGTGTATACATTATTTTTAATTTTCTCAGTGCTTTGTGTAAATTGAATTTAAAATATCACTAAGGTAAATTTTTTATAATGTTCTTTTATTATCTTACATTGTAAGATCGCTATCAAGACTTCTATCTTAGTCCTAATACCAGCAGTTCATTTTCTTTCTTGTTTTTTAGTCTTAATCAGACTTGCTAAGGTTCATCAGTTCAATTTTTTGCTAAACAAGTAGCTTTTGGATTTTCTGTATTCATTTTCACTTGGTATTTGGCTTTTATATTACTGATTTGTATTTTTGTTATTTTCTGTTTGGTTTGTGCTTTTTCTATCTTACCAAGATAGAAGCCTAAATCATTAATTTTTATCCTTTTTTTCTATTTTATATACTTAAACCTGTAAGTTTTCTCCTTATCACTGCTTTGATTGGCTCCAACAAGTCTTGCTATTTCATATTTTCATTTCAGTACAAAATGAGAATTTTTTTCATGTACATTGTTTAACAAATTGTTTTGCTTTTCATTCCTACTTTAACTCTTGAGTAATTGGAAAATATACTCTGCATGATTATTTAAACTTGAATTTTTAGCCTTTTCATTCTAGTGAAATATTTTTTTCTAGTAATTTCTAATAAAATTTCTTTTTTTTATTTCTAGTAGGTTTGTTTTGTTTTGTTTGGTACTGGGGAGCAACCTCGAGTAATTACACTTGTGAGGCAGGCAGCGAAACCACTGAGCCGAATCCCTGTAGTAGTATTTTTGTTTTTTTATTTCCTTCTGGCCATGTTCTTATATGGGTATAATTAAATGGTGATTCTTTGTATACAGTTTATTTTACTTTTGTCCTTTCTTTAGCGTGGTAGTTAAGATCTATGATGAAGAAATATGGTTTAGTTTATTACTCTCAGTGTTTAAACTGATATATTTTTTTGCATTTAGTGGACTTGCTAGTATATGTTTAGTCAAATCTGTAATCTTTCCTTTTCTTTTTTTCAGCTGTTTTCCTTGCTTCTGTTGAAAATAAAGCATTTTTTCCTCATGAAATCTTTATCATTCTATTAGCTGCTTAATTGTGTAATCTTTCAGTATTCTTAGTGTTTCCGTAGTGTTTATTACTTAAATTGTTGACTTTTTATTTAAGTTAAATTCCACTTTAATAATTATAGAACTGTGCAAAAACTTAGCTTAATTCTTTTTAAATTTCTAATACCTTTACAGAAACATACTTTGACATACATTTTATAGTTTGAAGAACATTTTGTTAGTGTTTATATAGTTATTTTTTAATGTCCCCAAGTACATAAATCTCTTTAGTTCTTTTTCTTCCTTCTTGAATTTAACTGTTTATTCAGTATCATTTAGGTTTTTCTTGAATTGCTCTATTACAGGTGTACTGGCAAAAATGTTTTCAAAACTCATTTTCTGAAAATATTTTCATTTTTGCTTTAGCTCTTGTATGTTTTCAGGGAGTACAGAATTTTAGACTAGTAATATTATCTCTTTAAAAGTGACATTTAAGCCGGGAGCGGTGGTGCATGCCTGTCATCCCAGCACTCGGGAGGCTGAGGCAGGCGGATCGCTGTGAGTTCGAGACCAGCCTGGGCTACATAGTGAGTACCAAGTCAGTCTTAACTACTTGTGGCCAATTTTTAACCTTTCACTGCCTTTTTTTTAGCAGTTTGACACTACAGTGCCTCTATGCATTTGTTTCCTTGTTTGCTTTGTGTCTCTTCAGTTTTCTCTGAATTTCTAGAAGCTGTGTGTTCATGTCTCTCGTCAGAGTGGAGAGTTGTGTGCCAGTATCTTTCGAGGATACTGCTCCCGCCTTTCTCTTGGGTCTCCGGAGCTGCTCATTTCCTGAATCATCTATCGGCCCCTTGTCCCATGTGTCGGGTCCTACCACCGTTCTGCTTTCCACCCTCTGTTAGGCTGTGTCTGTTTGTGAATAAACCTGTGCGTCGTGAATTTTTAGTGTTGGCTTCATTCTGTCACTGCACTGTATATCGTTTCCATTTGATCCTTTACAAAACTCCTAGAGCTAAGTCCCTCAGAGAAGGACCCAGCCCATCCGACTGCCGCATTTCACATTCCATCCCGTGACGAAGCGGGTGCAGTTTAGAGT